TGAACGCCCTTACCCTGGGCCAGGCACCAGGCAGTGCTCACTGGGAGGAGCATCCAGGACCTGGGAGCTGTGGGAGGAAAGGGTTAAAGGCTTCCTGGCTGCCAGCATTCCTCAGCCTAGGATGGGGAAGGGCAAATCCAGTCTCCCCTCGATTTCCCCCCCCTTCCATCAGCCTCCTGCTCCAGAGATAAAGGAGATAAACCCTTCCTGATGCTGTCAGCTGCTGAGGTTAGAGAGAAACACCCCAAGAAGCAGCCTGTTCACAGGCCATGGCTGTGAGGGGGTCTTACACCTTCCAGAGAGATTCAGGGCAGGACCTGGGGTGAGGGATGGGGCAATTCCTGGTGCTGTCACCCCCAGCGGCCTGGGGAAGCTCCTGCACACCCAGCTCCATCCTACCCACCAGCCTGGCTCCGAGCTCCCTCCCTGCCCAGGCCACTGGGGTCTCCCATTTAAAACCAAACCCAACCCAACCCATCAAGAGAAAACCCAACCCACAGCCAGGTGGGTTTGCAGCACGTTCCAATTCACCCAAACCACCCCACCTGGTTCAGTTTGAGACCCGAAGGGCCAGCTGAGCTTTGGAGAGGACCTGCAAAGCTGACGAGGTCACCCAGACCCTCTGCATTTAAACTGCATGCTAACACTAGAGCAACAAAAACCCAAAAAAAACCTGTACTATCACCGGCGCATGAACTGTAGATCCCAACAAATAAAACCCTTTCTGTAACTGCACGGACCGTGTCTGAGGAATCCCAAAAGCACAGAGCGGGGTCTGAGCATCTCAGCTGCTCTGAGCTCCCCTCTTGCAGCCCAGCTCTTTCTGCAGGCAGAACCCGGGCTGGATTTGCCGTCTAGTGGTTGTAGCAGACACGACACATCCCTGCAGCGCCTTCCCCACACCGAGGAGCTGCTGCTCCAGCACATCCCCGATGGGTTTCCACGCCAGGACATTGAAATGCACGAAAAAAGTGTCAGTTGAGAGAGGGAAGGATTGGCACGGTGCTTCTGGTCGTTCTTTTCCAGATGCTTTCACGGTCTCCAGTCTTCAGCCAGGCTGATTTTTAACAGCTCAAGTGTAAGATGGGTATAAAAATATAATTCACACGGGCAGGAGTTTTTACAGAGCTGGGGTTGCACAGAAAGTGCCACTTCCCAGCCTGGGGACCACCCCTCTGCTCACTGGGGGGCTCACTTGGCTCGGGGTTGGTGCCAACTGGGCAGACAGAGCCTGGGGGTACTCTGTGGGGTGCAGGAGGTGGGGTTCCCCACAGGCTTTCTCCAAATAGCCCCCCAAACTCCAGCCAAAGCTCTTGCAGAAGCCTGGCAGTGGGGCAGCATGGGGGGAGTGGGGTCAGGGGAGAAGGGGGATGCTCCAGACCCCCATGGATGTGCAACCAGCCAGCTCCAGTGCAGGTGCCCGTGGGCATGTGGGACCAGCTCCCATGCTTCTGCCATCAGCCCCCAGGACAGATGCCACAGCCCATCCTCCTCCTCTTCCTCCTCCTCTTCCTCCCATGTAGCAGCACCAAGCAGGACAAGTGGACGGGGGCAAGCGCACGGACACACCACCTCCTCCTCCGCTTCCTCCCCTGTAGCAGCACCCAGCAGAACAAGTGGAAGGGGGACAGGGCCAGGCCACCCAAACCCATGTCACATCCCCCTGCTCTTCAAAAGCAGCAGGGGACGATGTTTGCAGGATCCATCTCCAAACCAGCCAAGCACCAGCCCCCTCCCCATGCTCTGGAGCTGCCCAGGCCCCACCCCACACTGCCACTCCTCCCCACACCGAGCCACACCGAGTTTGTGCCTCAGAGCATCCACTCTCCTCCAACCAACAGGAGATGAAGGGGCTGGGGGTCCAGGGGGTGGCTGTAGGGAGGCTTCAGCCCATCACCTTTTTGGGGAACCTGGCAGCAGGGTGTGGTGGCAGCAGAGCCAAGCCCAGGAGAAGCAGCCAGGCAGGGACTCTGCAGCCTTCAGAGGTGGAGGGGAAGGGGCAGAGGGTCAGTGGATCAGTGCAACCTACTGCCCTACATCTCCACCCTCCCCCCTCCAAAAAAAAAGGAGGAGACCCCATTGGTCCTGGGCGAGCCCACGGACACCCAATCGCTGCCTTGTTGTGGTGGGGGTAGCAG